AGAAACAAGTGTATTAACTTCAATAATATTTTTATTTAAAACATATATAAAGTATTAACCTCCTGAACATATAATCAATGTAAAAATTTAATGAGGTCGTTTACGTTCTTTTCTCCATCCTAAGTCTTTAGAGTCTGGTGTGTGTTTCACACTCCTAGCACATCTCAACTTGTATGCGAGGCAGTGGTTAGAGTGAAATACAGTCCTGCTTTAACAATAAAGCCGTATGAGACAGTGTGTGTATAGAACGTTTCTGTCACTTAGAAAGTGCTGCTGATAACACAGAACAAGAGCCTTAAGTGGATTTAGGTTCAATTTTTTTATGTCACAATGTGTCACAAATGTTGCTATCTACTTCCTGTGACACAGCATCATGCCTGGTTTTTCTACTTTTTGTGATACTCAAATTATCAAGTGGGTCCAGCCATGTTTCTGGACATTTCTAAAGAAAAGAAAAAAGATTTTTATCCTTTTTTTTTTGAGACAGGGTCTTGGGACCAGGGAGATAGCTCAGCAGCACAGCGCCTGTCTGGCAAGCACAAGATGGTGAGTGTGATTCCCACTACCAAAAAACAAAGAGACAAGGTCTCACCATGTAGTTCAGGCTGGTCTTGAACTCACTATGTAGCCCAGGCTGGCTTTGAACTCACAGCAATTCTCCTGCCTCTGCCTTCCAAGTGCTGGGATTATAGGCGTCTACCACCACACCCAGTTTATAGTCTTTATTTAGAATGGACTAAGTGATAGAAAATAATTCCTAAGTATAGGACAAAACCATCCTGACCATATTAAAATCACCTGAGGCTAGGCATGGTGGTGCACATCTGCAATCTCAGAACTCTATAAGGCTGAGGTAGGAGGGTCTCATGCTCAAGACCAACCTGGGTAACTTAGTTACTTAATGAGGCTGTGTTTTAAAATTTAAAAATATAGGGCCTGGGATATAGCTCAGTGGGACAGTACCTGCCTGGCAAGTGTAAGGTCCTGAGTTCAACTCCCAGTACCAAAAAGAAAACAAAATTTTTTTAAAAAAATATAGGCCAGGTGTGGTGGCACACACCTGTAATCCCAGCACTCGGGAGGCTGAAGCAGAAGGATCACTGCGAGTTTGAGGCCAGCCTGGCCTACAAAGTGAGTTGAAGGCTGGCCTGAACTACAGAGTGAGACCCTGTCTCAAAAAAGAAAAAAAAAAAAAGAAAACTTTAAAGAATAAATAAAATTTAAAAATATATATTTAAAGGGCTGAGTGTATAACTCAGAGTCAAGGACCTGGGTTCAATCTCCAGTACCATTATTTAAAAAGGAGAATAGGAAGATGAAGGAAGAAGAAGAGGGGGAAGAGAGGTAGAGGGAGAAACAAATAATTTGAGGATGCTCAGCGACTGAGAGTCATTCTGCCTGGGCTAGAATCCTGACTCCACTTCTTACCAGCTGTGTGGCTATGGGAAGCCACTAACCTCTCTGATTCTGTTTCTTTAACTGTGAAATAGGAAAAGAATAGGCCTCAGCTTATAGGATACAGTGATGATTAAATGAGGTTAATATATGTAAAGCATGTAACGCAGAGTAAGTATTCATTGACTGTGAACTATTCTAATTCTAGGGAGGGATTATAAAAATTCAGCCTCCTAGGCTTTACTGCTGGAGGGTCTAATTTGGTAAAGTCTGTGCTGGGACCTGGGGATCTGCATTGTAAACACATTCTGTAGGTGATCCCAACGTCCCAGGCCCTTCGGCTCAGGTGTCTTCCTCAGATCTTTTCCTGTGGTGACCCTTGGCACTGTCCCCCCTCGGAGCAGCATGTGCTGGCTGAACACCCCAGCATCTGTCAGGGAATGAATAAGTCCAGGAGGCTGCCAGATTGACCAGGCCGAAACCTCCTATTTTATCTGCCTGCCCTAAGTCCCAGGCTTTTTGCCCTGTGGGTCTTCCTGTCATATCAACTTTAGGGTGGAAGAATGTAGAATGTGAAAAAATAAAAGTATCAAAAATCAGAAGTAGTATTGTGTAGTTTTTAGAGATTGTATAATGAATGGGGTCTTACCTCTTTTGTTTGTTTGTTTCATTTGTTTGTTTTTTTGTCTTTTTGAGACAAAGATTCACTATACAGTTCAGGTTTGCCTTGAACTCAGCATGTAGTCCAGACTGGCCTCAAACTCACAGTGATCCTCCTGCCTCAGCCTCCGCTCTGCTGGGATCACAGATGTGCGCCACCGCGCCTGGCTTGTTTAAATTAGGGAGCTTGCCTAGAGTGTCTTGAACACATGAAGAGGCCATGTTTTATAAAACTAAAGAAAAGAGACTGCAGGGGTCGTCTTGTCCACTCTGCTTATTTTAGAGAAAGAAAATGAGTTACCCAAGGTCAGTACCAGGGCTGGAACCTAAGTCTCTAGTGTTGCTCGGTATTCGTTCCTCTGTGTCATCTCTCAGTCCGTTCAGACTGTAGCATTCCGTCCCTGTCCCCCAAACATTCAGTCCTCTTCAGTGTAAAATACATTCATTCCACCCTCAAAGAACCAAAGGTCTTCACTAACTCCTGTAGGAAACCCACCTTTTTTTTTTGGTACCAAGAATCGAACTCACAACCTTGCACTTGGCAAGCAGGTCCTGTGCCGCTGAGCTATATTCCTGACCCGAATTCCACATTTTAAAGCCAAAGTCTTATCTCAATATCATCAAAGTCACTTATGGATAAGATTCAAAGTCTGGTTTATCCTGAGGTAAATTGCGCTTCAACTGTTAGTGCTGTGGAGTCCAACACATTACGCTTCCAAATCTGAGGGTGGGACAGGTGTAGGGTAGTCGCTCCCATTCCGAAGGAGACACAGGAGAAGAGAACAGAGTGACAGGTCTCACGTCAGTCCAAACCCTTCCGGCTCGAAAGTGAGCTCTGGCTTTGTGCTCTGCCCTTCGCGCCCTCTGGGCAGAGGTCCTGCCCTGTGGCTTTGCGTGTCCTACCTCAGGGCTTTGCCAGGCTCACCTGATGCCACTAACAGATTGGAATTGCCCTCCTGCCACTCTTGGGCTGGAATCACACCCTGAGGCAGGTGTGCAGGCCTGAGGACTCAGGGCCAGCCCACTCCCATGGTGCCCCTGGCCCCCAGCTCTCTGTGGCATCCGTTGAAATCCAGGTGGAGGCAGCCACACCCCCACAGCTTTGCTTGGCAGAGTCCGAGCTGTGGGAGCTCAGGGGAGGCCGCACCTGGTGCAGCTGAAAAGTGTGGCAATAAGGTTTGGGGAGCAGAGCCCACAGTGTGGGGGCGGCACTGGGGATTCCTGGGACGGGGTTCTGTCCTGTCACTGGCACTGTGGACCCACCAGGGAGAGGGTCATGACCTCTGAAATGACTGTAGGCCATTCTTCCATTGTCTTGGACAGTAGGTCCCAGGTTCTGTTTAGAGGGCTGACTAATCTGCCTGTTGTCTTGATGAACTTCGCCTGGCTTCCCCTGAAGGGCCAGATCCATACTAGTCCCCTTATCAAGCAATCTGTGGGCGTACTGCTATTCTCTCTTGAACAGGTTTTCTCATTTTGTTTTTTCTAATATGAACAGGCTGAGAATTTTTCAAACTTCTTTTTTTTTTTTTTTGTCTTTTTGAGACAGGGCCTTGCTATGCAGTTCAGGCTGGCCTTGAGCTCACTTTGTAGCCCAGGCTGGTCTCAAACTCACAATGATCCTCCTGCTTCAGCCTCCCGAGTGCTGGGATTATAGGCATGTGCCACCACGCCAAGCTTCAAACTTCTTTTTTGGTTAATGATTCTACCTTGGAACTGTTTCTCTCCTTTCTTTCTTTCTTTCCTTTTTCTCTTTTGTTTTTTTCTTCTTGAGACATGGTTTTCACTGCGCAATTCAGGCTGTCCTTGAACTTATTTTGTAGCCCAGGCTAGCCTCAAACTTTCAGCAGTCTTCCTGCCTCAGCCTCCCGAGTGCTGGGAGTTCTGGGATTGCAGGTATGCGCCACCATGCCTGGCTCTCTGTTTTCATATTTTATTCTAAGCTGTCAAAAGGAAACAAGCTACTCCTTCGGCACTGTGCCTAGATATGTCCTCAGCCAAATATCCAGTGTCATCCCTTCTGAATTCAATTTTCCAGAAATACTGGTACACAAACACAGATCTGCCCAGTTTTCTGCTACTTTACAACAAAGATGACTTTCCTTCATTGACCAGTGCTGTGTTCCTCATTTCTATCTGAAGCCTTACCCTAATGCACTTTACTGTCCATATTTCTGTTTTGCAATATTCTGTTCACAGCCACTGAGGTATGCTCTCAGAGGACTGACACTCTCGCCTCACATTCTGAGCCCTCACCAGCACTGCCCTTATGGTCCACACTTGACAGTGTGATCTTTTCCCAGCAGGCACCCCACAACCCTTCCATCTTCCCCTCCCTACCCAGTTCCAAAGCCACATCTGCATTTATTAGGTGTTTGTCATAGTTGCACCCCACTCTTGGTACCAAATTCTTTCTTAGTCCATTCAGGTTCTTACATAAAATACCATAAATTTGGTGGCTTATAAAAACAGAAATTTGTTTTGCATACTTCTGGAGTCTGGGAAATCCAAGATCCAGGCACCAACAGACTTGGTGTCTGGTGAGGGCTTGTTCCTCATAGACGGCTGTCTTCTCACAGGAGCCTCACAAGGTGGCGGGGTGAATGAGCTCTCTCTGAGATCTCCTATGTATAGGTGTTAATACCATTTGAAGGCTTCACACTGGTCAGTTCCCAAAGGCCCCACCTCCTAACTCCATCACATCGGGGTTGGGATCTCTGCCACCTAGAGAGTTAACAGAGGTTCCCTGGCAACACCCTGCTCTTGGCAACGAAGAGAAAAAAGACAGCAAAGGGAAGTAAAGTGAATCTCTGGTCCAAGCCCCAGACTGGGCAAGGGGGATTCTTGCCTTTCCAGGAGCCTGGAGGGGGATGGGACCACACCCCTTGGCCAGACCTCAAACCTGCAGGGCTTGACAGCTGGGCCTCCCTGCTGGTGTCTTGCAGGGTGTCTGGAGGAGAGCTCTTTGATTTCCTGGCCCAGAAGGAATCCCTGAGCGAAGAGGAGGCCACCAGCTTCATCAAGCAAATCCTGGACGGAGTGAACTACCTGCACACAAAGAAAATCGCTCACTTTGATCTCAAGGTCAGTAAGAGCAAGAAAGGAAAAGAAGAGCTTAGGTACTGGAGGTTGAACTCAGGGCGTTCATACTGAGCTGCCTCCCGATCATTTTTCTTTTACACCTTGAGACAGAGTCTCACTAAATCTCTACATTGCCCAGGCTGGGCTCAAATTTGTAATCCTCCTGCCTCAGCTTCCCAGAGTACTGGGAGGGATCACAGCGTCTACTACCACACCCAGCTAAGAAGCTTCTTAATCAGTTATAGGCACCTTCTCACTTCCAGGGAGCAGGTGGGACATAGTTTTTAAGTAGACCAGTGACAGGGAACTTGAAACCAAACCCACACTGCAAGGCTGAACTTTTCAGCAAGGAAGGATGAAGTCCTGGGCAGATTTGGAGGACTGCAGGGGCTCAGACCCAGCCCAGCCCAGCCCCCCGCGTGCCACCATCCTAGCCTGGAACTCTCAGGTCCCAGGGACTGCTGGCTGCCCTCTGCCACCCTGTCCCAAGCTGTGGCCATAGAAGTGCTTCCAGGGCCCACTGATCATTTGTGGTCACTGGTAGTCAGGGTCAGGAAAGTTCACTGTGACCACACAGGACTTCATGAAGAAAGAATGTGGTCAGGGTAGAAGAAGTGTCTCCCATAGCAACAGCTCGGCTGCACAGACAGCCGAGCCTTTGCAGATACCTAATGCGTGAAGGTCCTTGACCTCATGACCAGACCCATGTTTATGGGGAGGAGGCCCTTCTGTGCTCCTGTCCAGAAATCCCTGTGGTCTTTCAAGCACGGTGCTGGGTGCCTGGATATTGCTGCAGATACAAAATCAACTGAGCTCAGTTCTTCATTTCCAGGGAACTTAGGGGAGGAGACAGAAAGGAAAGATCAAGGGCTCTAAATGCTGTGATGGGGGAAGCACAAGGGAGCCCACAGGAAGGGGACTTCTCGGTCGGATTAGAGTGTCAGAGCTTCCGGGAAGAGGCAGTATTAGAAGAGGCGCTCTGTAATAGAAGCCGTCCTTGTTATTTACCTTCCTGGAATAGAGGAAAGAGAAAAACAACTGTGTACATGGTTCCCGAACAGCCCAGTGCATTCAGCACCCGGCAGGCCAAGGGGCTGTGTGCCGAGTGGCTGAGAAGAGGCCAGGAGAAGGGCAGGAGGCAGACGACAGGGGTGAGAGCTGCGTGCAGGAGGCTGCACGAGACCCTGAGCGTTAGGGGGTGGGGGCCAGGTGAGCTGATGCCACTGTCTGGGAGGAGGGTGGATAGAATGGGAGCTGGGGCAGTTACCTAAGGGAGAGGTGGTAGGGAGCAGTTCCACTAGGCTCCTGAGGCAATGCAGAGGAGCTAGAGAGAGAGGCCCAGGATGAGGCCCAGGTTCTGGCGAGGGGCCTTGGCCCACAGAGGGTTTGGTGTGGCCGCAGTCCCGCAGCAGCCGTGCCAGCGTGGTCCCCTCCTGATGCCTGCTGTCACGTAGCTTGAATTCCTCCCACAGAGCATCTTGCAGAGTTTGCCTGCAGTTTCCCAGGGTAAAATCGGGCCGTGGAGGCAGAAGCCTTTGGACCTCAGAGTGCTGGTACACCTCGCACTTCCTGCTCTCCCTGAGTGATACCTGCGTCTCCTTCCTCATGATGCCAAAGACAATTAACCTGCTGTTTTCCTCTATCTTTGCTGGCTCCAGGAGCCCGCCTCCACACGAGCTCCTTGGTCTTTTCTCCCAGGTGCTGGCAGAGGTAGGAGGAGTCGCAGAAGCCACCGGCATCTGGTGACTTCTCAGGGTCACGTGTGTGGTTTGTGTCTGTGGCAGCTCACTGCAGTGGGGGGACCACTGGCTTGGATCAGCAGGGTGGGGTTCCCTCCTTGCTGTGCCATGAACCAGGACACCCCAGTTTTTCAGTCTTGATGCAGATAACACCAGCTACCTGGCAGAGTTGTCGAAAGGGTTAGAGAGAAGCAGGAGGAAATGCCAGATATGGAATAGGTACTCTGGTATAGATGCTGTTCTTGTTATTTCTCTCCCCAGAATAGAAGAAAAAAAAAACACAACTCCTGTTACAGTGTTTTGGGTCCCAGTAGATGGGGACAGGAGACCCCGCCTGCTAGGGCGGTTCTATGCAGGCCAGCAGAGCGCCGAGACGGGATGCTGTGTAGGACCGCCGCTGCGGGTGGTATCTAGCTCCTGGGCTCAGTCTGCACATTTCCCGTGACCTGGAGACAGGCTAGGTTTTCCCTGGAGTCTGAGGACGCCACTAACCCCAGCCCCGGCCACGTAGCCTGACGGTTTTGCGGACTGTGAGCTTTCTCACTCCCCACACGCGGGATCCTCGGCCCAGGCACTGCATGGCAACTTTGGGCAATGATGAATAGCGACTGCCTCCCGGTGGGGGAGACACTTCCGGGAGCCAGACCGTGGGCGTGTGTGTGTGTGTGTGTGTGTGTGTGTGTGAGTGTGTGAGTGTGTGTGTGTGTGTGTGTTCCTACCATCTAAACGCTACAGTTTTCTTCCCATGAGGCACCTGGGTTTCTCTCTCCCCTGCTTGTGCTGTTACTCTTTGCTGCTCAGCCTGGCCTGGCTGCCCCAGGAACTTGCCGCTGTATGGTCTCCATGTCCTGCCGGGAACCTGCTCTCCATTTGCCTTTCCGGGAGGGTCAGCTGTCTGCCCGCCTCTGCCATATGACCGTCCCTCCTCGGGCCGCTGTCTGATGAACTCTCCTGTGTTCAGCCAGGTGCCAGGGACAGTCAGGCTTCTGGGTGCTCACGACTTGTCCCCAGCCTTGTTGCAGAGAGCAGCGAATGAACAAAGTAATGTGAGATAAGCAACTTTTTAAAAACAGATCGTGGCTTGTTCTTGCTCAAAAACCTGCAGTGCCTCCTTGTGACTCACGGGATGCAGGATCGCGTGTGGGGGTTCAGGCCTTAGCCCTGTTTCGGGCCTCACGCACACTCACTTGCTCAGCCCAAAGCCCGAGCCGCAGGCGGCGGGACCGCAGATGTGTGTTCAGGCCTCTGGCCTCCTCCATCCGTGCCGTTCCTATCCAGGGTGCCGCTGCTCTTCCTTTCTCCTCCCGGTGGACTTTACTCATCCTTCCAGGCCAGCAGAAATGCCGTTTCCTCCAGGAAGCGTTTGCCATCCCTGCCGCCTCCCCAAGGCAGAACTAAGAACCGACCCGCCCCTCTCCTGCTGCCCCTTGTACACATTTCTGCCGGGAGCACTCCTCCTTGTGACTCACTTTCTGCAGCAGTGTGTGACATTTGAGTCACACAGTGTTAGACCGACGGATGGATGGATGGATGGACAGACGGATGGAGGGAGGGATGGAAGGATGGAGGGAGGGAGGGGTGGATGAAGACCAAATGTGCTCATGGACTTCCAAGGCCCTTTCCTGCCTCACCTGGAAAATACAAAGCAGGTGCAGGCGGAGCGCAGCTCACTGATGAGAACTGTATGGAAGGAGAGTGATCCATATTAATGCTGCACGGCCCCTGCCCGCTGGGGCCCACTGTCCACGACCCAGGGCACAGAGCGTCCAAAGGGAAGCCGTGTGGAAGAAAAACAGATTCTCTCCAGCACATGCCTGCTCCCAAGGGCCAAACTCTGCTTCAAGGAGCGGAGAGGAGCTGGGGGGTGTTGTGAGTTCACCACAGCTGTGGGAAGGTGGGGTGGGGAGGGTAGGTGATCTTGCCCTGAGTTATAGCGATGGAAAGGACACAGAAGCTGGCTGTCCCTCGGGACCAGGATGCAGCAGGCATGCTAGGAAACGGGGCCCAGGACCGGCCAGGAACCGCACTCTCGTGTAGGTTCCAACACAAATAAAAGGCCTTGCGGAGGGGGTTTGTATGGGGCTTTGTGCTTATTTTAGATTTGGAAATTCCCCCACCCCAGGTGTGGACGTGTCCCTCCTCCTGTCCCACCCCCACCCCATTCTGACCCGATTGGAATACGCAGAGATGGAAGGCTGCCCTCAGGACCAGACGGTATTTTATTTGTTTATTTGTTCATTTTTTCAGATAGGGTCTCACTATGTAGTTCAGGCTGGTCTTAAGCTCACTATGTAACCGAGGCTGACCTTGAACTCTCAGTGATCCTCCTGCCTCAGCCTCCTGAGTGCTGGGATTTACAGGCATGAGCTACCACACCTGGCTAGGACTAGATAGTATTTTAAACAAAAAAGAACAAGTTGGGGGGAATGGTTAAAACTGTATATAAGCCAGCGTCCCAAGACTCTGAGGGGGCTTCAGATTGATACACATAGTGAATTCCTGAGCAAGGCACTCCTGTATGCCTGGAATCATCCTTTGAGCAGTTCTTGTGTCTCCCGTGATAGGGACAGCTGGCCAAGCTTTCATAAGAATGGTAACAATCATGCTTTAGATGTATATAGCACCTTCTAGGGAACATCATGCCTGCTTCTTTTTCCTTATTTGGTCCTCATTAAGTAGAAGGAATTGTCATTGTGTGTGTGTGTGTGTGTGTGTGTGTGTGTGTGTGTTGCTGGGGATCAAACCAAGGGCCTTGTATGCTAAGCACTGTACCATTGAGCTCCATCCCCTCTTGTCACTTTTTTTTTCCTTTTTGAGGCAGGGTCTTACTATGTAGTTCAGGCTGCCTTCGAACTCGCTATGTAGTCCAGTATGGCCTCAAACTCACAGTGATCTTCCTGTCTCAGCTTCCCAAGTGCTGGGATTATAGGCATGTGCCACCATGCCCAGCCTGTCACTTTTTTTTTTTTTTTAACCTACACAGCAGTTAAGATTCAGAGAGGTTTAGTAACTTTCCCAAGGTCACACAGGTATTTAATGATAGGGCTGGGACTTGAATTTAGTCAGAGAAGAAACTCTAAGTAAAGCTGGATGTGACCAACTTTTATTTTACTTTATGATTTATAATCTAGATTTCTTACTCCCTTAAGTTGTGCTTTTTACACATAGCTAATCCAAGATCTGTACTGTGCTGTGCATTTATTCTTACCCAGTTAATTTCTTATCTGTTTATACTGTTTTTTCTTTTTAGTATAGCACACATTA